TCCAACATTGAAAAAAATATCAGGCCATAAGAAATGGCCTTGTGGGTCAGATATGTTCTGCTTCTGACAGTGGCAATACGAAATGCTGTTTTGGGACACAACATGAGCCTGCTCACACTCTGTAGTCCACCTCTCATAAAAATTTGTTGATAAGGAATGGAGATGACACATCTCTGCTTAGCCCTGACATCACTGATTTATGAATCTGGTGTTCATGAATTTATCTAATCTACTTTGAACCTGCTAAAACTGTCTCTCTTACAACTTCCATGGACATATATTTCAGAATTTTAACTAGCTATTGCGTAAATAAGTACCTTCCAGATAAGGTTCTACATGCTATCAGGACTTTGCAGAACTTTATGATATGCCTTCCAGCCTTTTCCTTTTGAAACAAAAATGTTTCAACCTCTCTAATGTTTTCTTGAAAAATAGCTCTTCCACCACCTACTTACTCTTCTCTATACTCATTCTAATTCCACCATCTCCTTCTTGAGATCACAAAATTACAGAGAGCACTGAGAAGGTAGGTGCACAAAAGGTTTTATATACATGCCAAATTATGTCATTTGGGTGGCCTTCTTCCAAAGATGTTTGATGTCTTGATGGCTATTTCTAGCTCCAGCCAAAGACATTGTGAGATCCTGCTGTTGTTTCTTGTCATTGACATAATATTCAGCTATCTAAAAAATCTTAATTAAATCACACTTGAAGATGTCACAGCTCATTTCCTTTTTCAGGTCATTGATGAGGCAGTTGAGTAAAACAGGTTCTAGAACCAACCTCTGAGGTACAATACTGCCAATTCTTCTCTATCCTGAAACTGAAACATTAAGTCTTATGCCTTCATCCTATTCTTTAATTCACTTTCAGTCTTGAAAAGAGCTCTGTTCTCATGGCAAATTACTGCTCTAATTCTCGTTAAAGTTTTTTAAATGGATTTGTGTCAAGAAAACCCTTTGAAATTTCTAATGCATATTATCTACATCATTCCCCTTATAAATGGACACCTTCATTCTCTGGTTGTATGTTCTGAAAAGCTTCCAATCTAAAGAAAGGCATTACTGTGTCGGTTCTTAAGAAGCTGAAACACAATGCTTTTCCTTGAAAATTTCCTATTTGCTCATTTGTGCTGCTTGGGGAAGCGGCAGCACAACAACATCTAAATTTCATGTTAGTTTTTTTGTCAATTATCTCAAACCAGTCATCGTTTCCCTTCCCAGGTAAGGAAAACCAAAGAGGGAAAGGCACTCAATAAGAGAAGCAGTAGTGAAATCCAGGTCATCCAAATCCTATCCGTACTACACTGGACTGTCTCCAAAGCCAAGGGATCCTAAATGCAAAGATGCTTTAGTATTTTGTCAATCTCTCCTCTCTCTTTCCATTACCAGTGAGCAGAATTAAATCCCTGCACCTGAAGAAAGGAGATACTCCATTCAAATAGTGTGGAAATTCAGGCTTATATGCACTCCAGACTCTTTTTTTCTTTCATTTTTTCTGTTCAAGCCCATCTCATATCTCTGATATTTTTTTCCTACTTAACAGGTTTCAAATCTTTACATTTTCCCCATCTTCAAGCTTTCTGTTGGCAAGTCTTCCAACCCCCAACACTGAACCAGGTTTTGTCTGCTTCACACTTAATCAGCATTCCTTTATTAAAAAGCTATTAATTAGCTTATCAGTGGTCCAATCTACTGACTATTGTGATAACTGTAAGACTTTTAGAGCTTTCTCCCCCCCACACACTTTGTTGACAGACTATTGGACTTAGAAACAGCACCACAAGGAATGCAGGCTCATCTTTGTTTCAACATACTTAAGGTGCTTTTATCTGTAGGTTTGCCTTGAACAAAATCCTGTTCAAATTGTATTAAGCCTCAGATAAACCTTTCTTTCAGATTATGGTTTCTAACTGAACTCCCGTGCACTGAAGAGAGGGCACCGAATTCTTGATTGTTTCAAGAAAACCTCTTTGAGTAATCCCTTGAGCTTGCCTACAGGGCTTGGATTTCCTAATGGATGCTTTGATGACAGGAGATAAGAGCCAAAGGTATCTTTATTCTCTTAGAAATTGCTCCAAACAAACAACCTCAATGATTAAAGCTAATAGAAATACCTGGAAGATTGATAGTTTGCAAAGCACTGCTGAGTGAATGAATAACTTCCCCTTTAGTTCCAAAAGCTAATATTTGTCCACATTTGCTGCCTTTTAAGAAAGTGCAACGAGGGGGTTTTTTTGGGTTTTTTTTGTATAAAGAGTGTTGATCAGGAACAAACAGACACCATTTAGCTGTTATTTAAATTTTAAACAAAGCCTCCCTACTTCAGTTATGGAGGCAGCTTTCTGCATGGCCCCATTTATAATAATTCAAACATGGCGAGGGGAGGGTCGCTAGAGTAAAGTACATATTAGTGTGAACATGATACTCTTGTAAAAGTCTTTAATGATGTGAATGGGCAGTGCACTCTGGTATTCTATACAGGGGTTTTAAATTGCACAAAGGCCCTGTAAAACTTCTATATCTGTTCCCAAGCAATACACCTATCAGAGGGTTGAACAAATGGAAACCAAACTCTGCAGCAAATAAAAGTCTTAAATTTACAATGCTGGATTATAAAATGGTGTCTCCCAACAGCAGCCCTGACTTATTTCATGTTCTGATGAAATCATTACTTGCGATTGCCAAGAAATTCAGCTGTAAACTTTTGGCAATAAGTAGACTTTCCTTGGAACTGCTGGTTTTGAAAACATCTGTAAGTAAGGAATCCACTGCAGAACCAATAAAAGGGGCTGAAGAGACCAAAACTTTCACTAACACCTCATAACACAGGCAGCGCTGTGAGTGCCACCAAGCCCTGCTCCCTGGTATGTGGGATATGCACATACCAGAGTTCATTTCCAAAATGGAGGGTTTATGACTCCCAATGTCACTGAGCGTGCAGTGGGGGAGTGTATCACATAACAAAGTAATCCAACAATAGAGCTGAAAAGAGTTGAACATTTGTTTTTTAAAGTGATGCAGCCCAGGGTGGGTGGTTCTGATACTGAAAATTCCTCAGGTTTCTTTAAACAACATGAGTTAAACCTTAGAAAGAACTACTCTGAGTGAGTCTTTTAAGGAAATTCTCATTTTATAGCCACATTGAGGAAGGATTTGAATTAATCTCATTTTCCTTAAAAGACAATGGAGTATGGAGTTAGGATTCACAAGAAAAGACAGGAGGTTTGAGGGTGAGGAGGGTATGGGTATATTCTGAGAGTTGAAAAGGAGATTATGAGCTGCTGTTGCCTCAGAGTTTCATTCCCTTAGCCCAGATCACCACTGGCCTGTGGAGCTCAGCTGAAATGACCTACTGAAATGGAAACAGAAATGTGAAGTGAGACAAATTATATTTGATTCTCTGACTGACCAATGTTCTGCTCTGGCTTGAGCCTTCAGCAGCTTTAAATGTGCTTTCTCCAGAATCAGCCTTGGGAAAGAGTTTTCATACAGAGACACATTTAATTTAACTTTTCCTCCCCTTGTTGCACTTGTCCCCCATTCTCCCACACTACTTTGATACATCCTATGGTCCCCTCAGAGGATGAGGGCTCCCAGACATGGTGAGATTTTGTTCTCTGAGCAGAGCTGTTCTGACTACACCTGAAATCTTGTGACCAAATCCTTACCCTATCCTCTGCATTGTGGCGGAGGAAGAGGCTGTCTGTGCACTCCTCTCTCACTGTTGCCTGGTCACTCACAAACCATAAATCCCCTCCAATTGAAAACTGTGCAGTTTGTTCACTGATGCCTACTCAGCAGGAGGAGAGCCACACCTCTTCCTGTTCCCAACATTAGTGTTTGGCAGAGAGGTGAATTAAATCTTTCTTTTCAATACTGTTGTCACCTTTTAATAAAACGATGAAAAAGAAATATTAAAGATATTATTGAAGGAAGTCAAAATAATTATTTTGTATTATTTTTGACAATTTGATTGATGACCCCACTGCATGATAATTTAATATTTTTATTTGTAACAACCCTGATTTCATGCTAATTTTTGAGGGCACATTTGCACTCCAAGGCAACTAGCAATAGGACAAGGGGTAATGGCCTGAGGTTGTGTCAGAGGAGGTTCAGGTTGGATTTTAGGAAAAATTTCATCACTGTGATTGTGCACTGGAGCAGGCTGCCCAGGAAAGCAGTGGAATCCCCATTCCTGGGTGTTTTCAAAAATGAGAGGACATGGTACTTTGTGATGTGACTTAGTGGGCTTGGTAGCATTTGGTCAAATGTTGGACTTGATGATTTTGGGGGTCTTTTCCAACCCTAATGGTTCTATGATTCTGTGATCATTTACAGTTTACAGGAGTTCAGGTTTAGATAATCTCTCTCTTACACTTACATTAGGAGCCACAGAATAGGGTTTATGACTGAGCAACACTGTCAACTCGACAGCATCTCAGGTTGCCCGGATTTGTGGGATAAAGACAGCTTAGATGAACAACTAAACATTTTTGCCTTTCACAACTCCTCAGAAGACTAGGGTGCAGAACTCTGATCAGTTAAAAAGCTTTTGGGAGCACAGCCCATCGGGCCAGACTGGAGGCAGGAAGCGTGGAAAGGGAATAATGACATCAGTGCAGGTTTTGGGGTGTTCTAGGTAAAATGAATCTCAGACTCAGTACAGAAGTGCTTTCCTGTGTGTTATGCTAAAACATAAGGACACTCAGCATGGCAAAGCAAATCTCTGTGCTCTGAACTTATTCTCCTTTAAAGGCTTGGTGGTCTTTCAAAACACTGGGTCATACCATGTTAATCTGACCCATGACTCCCTTCGTCCCCAGCAGGGAAAAAACAAAAGTCTATCATATATTGTTTTCAGTAACTAAGAATTTCAGAAGTAATCCTAATATATGTAGCATGCACTCTTCAGTGATGGATAAATATTAAAATATCACTTGGCTGTAAAGACTTTATTGATAAACGTTTTAACTTGTGCTTTCTGTTTCTTTCCAGTCTCCTGTTTTGTTTTCACCTCAGTAGTGAACCAAGATCGGTCACACTGACCCACTGCCAGTATTCCCTAATTCTCCTTAACGAGGACAACCTCCTTGCTAAATCTGATCCTGGAAAGCCACATAATTTGTGAGTATGAGAAAGATTAGATTAGTATTTCAGAACTGTTATTAGTGACCTAAAATACAAACAAATATGGTTTCTCACCACAGATGCTATGAATGGTCTGTGTGTTTTTAAAGCCTGCATTTTAAAACACCTTAATACTAAGTGAAATGAAAACTTCCTTATAAAGCAAAGAGTTGAAAGACAAAAGCTCAAAACAAGTAATACAAGTAATTTTTGTTAGCACACTTCATTATGTAAATAAACAGAGAAATACAGATATGATTTTTTGTCTCATTAATATTAACCACTGCTTGTTGGAAAGCAATTATTCAATTCTATTTTCTAATACATTTCCAGATTTTATCATTCTCTTTCTCTTTCACAAATCAAGAAGCAAAATTGCTTGTAATTACATGTGATAAACATGATAGAGAAATCATTCAACATACCGAAAAAACACACCAAAGATGAGAGAAAAAGCTATATTCTGAAATAAAAACTTTCTGGTTTTTACCCTTCTAAAGCTGATAGGTGAAATACTTGACCAGTTCCTTTTAAACCAAAATGTAAATGCTGATTTCCTTCACCAGGGCACTGTGCCTGAAACAATTGTCTTGCTCGTTCTTTTGGGTGCAGAAAAGGAGAATCTTTTCTGAAGCATGTTTATAAAAAATAGCATGTCCTCGACACCAACAAAAGCAGAACAGCTCTGTTGCTACAGCTGAGCTTGGAAAAGTCCTGGAAGAACCCTGTGGAGCTTGGGATTCCTTAATCAGAACAGAGCTGCAGCCCTTTGAAGGCCCTGCTCGTATTTGTGATGACGGTGGTGGAGTCCCACTCCCTCTGGGCACACACATACACTCTCCCCTGTGGACAGAAAGAATAAAGATGGAATTTAATGTTCTTTGATACGACACATACCTTTGCAGTGGTGCTTATTCACACTTACAGAGAGTATCTTCACTTCTCTGTGGCTAGTCATGTTCCTAGAGAACTGCCACAAGTACATTGCAGAAGCTGGTAGGGAAGAAATCATATCCATAAATCTGTGCTATCTTATTATGGGAATTTTTGACCAAAAAGTGCATCATAAAGAGAAGGCATGAGAGGTCAGTAATAAAAGAAAAAGTGGCTTTCCAAGTTTATTGTCATTACTCCAGTGGATGAGTGTGGGTGCATTAAGTTCTCAGCTTTTGACACCATTGATGTCAGCCCTCGGGATCTGGGCAAGGCCACTGCTGAGGGTGCTTGAAAAATCCCACCTACGAGTCAAACAAACTACATGAGTCTAGTGACCTGTGTTTGAACCCACTTGCCTTTTTAAAATAAACCCCTGTACAAATCCCAGAAGAAGCATGTGGTTAGTTCACATCATGGACTAATAATCGCTTACATCATCCTATTTTTAAAATTAGTCCTTTTTTGGATTATGGGAATGTCAGAAATCATGTTGGAAAATTCCAAAGTCTACCAATCCCATCTTAAAAGTGTCCAATCCTTTTTCTTTTTTTTAACCTATTTAAAATTAACAAAAAGAAAAAAATCCCAAGCTCTAAAACTACAATCTTTGCCTGCCAACTTTCAGCCTGGAACACATTTTTACAGCACTAAACCTGAACAAACCAGGTTTATACTGGAAGTGCTGACAGACCTTTAGCTATTCCAGTTATCTTAAAAGCTCAGCTGTATTTATTTTTCATTATATTTAAATATAATTGGTTGAGGTTTAAGTCTACTTCAATTTGAATATCAGTTAAATACCAGTTCCTGGAAATGAGTCCTTTCTTGAGTGTCTTTTGGGGCTATAATACAAATAATTTTGGGATTGCTTCATTTAAATATCAGTTCTTGGAAATGAGTCATTTCTTGGGTGTCTTTTGGGGCTATTATGCATATAATTTTGGGATTGCTTTTTAGAATTTTCTCTACTACCTCATTCATGTGGTTTTGCTTTTAATTCAAAGTGAAAGAGGAAAAATAAGCATTCTTATGGAGCATATGGTACTCAACTGTGGTTTGAATCCCAGTGTGAGGAATTCCACTGGAAGTTTCACACATTCTGTTCTGGTCTTAATTAAAAATATTGGAGCTGGCCTGGTACTTCAGTGGAAAAGCTATGTGCTGGTGTGCATGGATCCTTGAGGCTTTCCTGAACTCCTTTGGTTTAATCTGACTGGGGCTAGAGGAAAATGGTCAAGGTGTGAAACAACTGTGGAAAGCCAGAACTGTTTTTGTCAGGGATTGCTGATGGGATAGCTGTGGGATTAGTTTAAATATGAGGTGTCTGTTCTCTCCAGATTGAAATATACTTTTTTCTGGACAAAATATGACCAATATAGAAGACCTTTGAAATTCAGAATTAGGAAATAAGAAAAATAAACTCAGTAAAATGATTTTGAAATACCAAATCTAGCCAACTGTTGTCTCAGAGGGAAAAAAATATTCTGAAGTGAGAAATATATAATTTGAATTTTAACTATAAAGGGGATGGCAGTGGAGATGAAGTCATAGTTATTAATGTTATCATTGATGTTAAGTAAAAGTTAGAAGTGTAAATTTAAGGAGGGATGAGAACAATATTTTTATATGATTTAGAGGAACCATTTCAATTGCTTAAATCAAATATTTTTCATAATGCAGAATAAAGAACCACACCAACCCTTTTTTAACTGAAGATTTAAGCTTTTTTTTAGAGACTGATATTTTTTCTAAAAGATGTGATTAAGGCAGGAAGTCTTAAAGAGATGAATAATCCATTAGGGAATTTATCCCAATTGCTTTCCTTCTGATAAAAAGATTATTTCCATTTTTAAAATATTTTTATGCATTTCTCTTCATGATTTCTGTCTTCAGCACCTCTTCCCCTTTGATTACATGATTAGTGATTATATGCAATTATCATTTGTTTTGCTAACTTACCATTTTTTAAAGTAAATACACTAGCCTGCTTAAATCTCCCGTGTCACAGATATTTTTCAAAACCTTGAATAATTTCTCAGGGCAAGGACTAAGGTGACTTTCTTAGCCATATTATTGCACTGGAGATTCATAAAGATTGGATTTTCCAAATGATTTGAGAATCTCTGCTCTCAAAGACACAATTTCATATTTCATGGTACCTTCCCTTGCTCTTTGAACATGAATCTTCCACTTGCCTGTACCATGTTAGGAAACATGCTCGGCTGCACTCACTCTGTCAAAAAACCTAGATAGTGTGAAATAGAGTGGGGTTTCATTATCAGTTTCTGAATTATCAGCAATAATTTAATAGAATATTTTCTTTCAGATAATTTAAAAAATATTGAATTGCAACTCAATTAAGAACAAATCTCTATAGGAACTAACATTTTCATGATTACCCATTCACAGTTAAATTAAAATATATGTGCCTACTATTTCACTTTTCTTCATATGATTAGGTGTGTTTTGGGCTAAATTTTATGTCATAGAATGTGAAAGGTTTAAAAATATTTAAAAATCAACATTAACAGAAAGAACTATTTTTTTAAAAATCCCATTTTTCACTTCTAAGTGTCTGATAAAAAACTTCCAGGGAAAGAGATTCCTTCCACTCCCCTTTTCTTACATCAGCCAGAGATGAGAAACTTAGATGGCCTCTTGTAGGACCCACCGTGTCAATTTCTGAAGTCTTATGGGTGAGAACTTGTTACTTAACCTTTGATGAAATCTCTTGCACTTCAGTTTATCCATGAAACACATAATGTTCCTGACAGACATACAGAAACAGGCACAGCTGTTTCCTGGTAATCACCAAGGTTCTCTAATGGAGTTCAGGAAGGCCTGACACGGACACAAAACTATTGCAAATCACCATCTATGAGTCTGTAACCAAAGAATTTAGCCTGGGCATGTGACACATGCTGTGCAACTGATCAGTATCAAAATCATGTAAAAATACAGAGCTCCCAGAGTACAATTTGTGCTTAGTACAGGACAGTACACTGCTTCAAAGCTAGAAAATAATACATAAGGCAATTTTTTACAGCACTTGCTATAATTTTTTGTCAGGAGGAAGAAAACAAACGTGGGTAAAATAAGAAAGAAAACAAAGGTATGTAGAAAATGAAAATAAAGAACCAAAAAACTGGTTTTAAGGCAGAATTAGTCTGTTTTACATCTACTCTGGTTATGTCAGCCAGCTAGTAGCCATACAGGCAGAGAATTTAAGCAATTAAGAGTCCACTTTCCTTAAGTGGATTAGGCTTGTGTTCTGCTCATTAACACACCCATGATTTTGACTGAGACCTTTGTGATTTGCAGTCACAGTTCTGCCTGAAAAGTCAAAAATTAGCCTGGGCCTTATGAGCCAGGAGGAGCTTTGTTATAGCCATCTCAGATGGTAGTCACTTTTTCATCCCTACAGGTCCTTGTCCCACATCTGATCTGGGAAAACAGCTGAAGATCCATGAGAGATGCAGGTGGTTGGGCTGATTCAGCAAGCAGATTTCATGGCTGGGTGGTAATAGCAGCTGTATTTGGCTACCTTGAACAGAGGCTAGACAGTGTTAAAGGAATAAAGTAGGTATTTATTAAAAGGCCTTCAAAGGATACACCTTGGGCAGTACTAGAGCCCGGCCATGGCTCCACCGAAGATGGATGACACATCATGAATTTTCACACTTTTATAAGTTTTGGTCAATTTACATATTGGGGTTAATTGTCCGATTACAGCTTCAGGTTATGAAGTCCCATCCTCCCAATTTGCTCTCCTCAATTTGCTGTTGTTTATACTTTTTGGGCCTAAAGCTGCAACAGTATCCTTGATTCTTGGGCTGGAAAAGGATTGTTTTGTCAAGAGAAGAGAAGGAAAGAGAAGGGAAGGGAAGAGAAGAGGGAAGAGGGAAGAGGGAAGAGGAAAGAGGAAAGAGGGAAGAGGGAAGAGGGAAGAGGCAAGAGAAGAGAAGAGAAAACTTGCTAACATTTTTTATGAAGTTCAGAGTTATATACTAATGCAGTACAAAATCTGTAAAATGTGAAAGCTAAAACTTCATCCATCCATCCATCAATGAGTACTGAGGCTGCCAAAGAGAGACAGAGTCTACAGCAGGATACAAGAGATTTCTGGAACTCAAACAGGAATTCTGAGTGTTGATTAAATTCAGCTTAATTATATTTTTGGTTTGGGTTTGGTTTTTTTGTGTTTTTTTGGTTAGGTTTTTTTTATGGTTTTGTGTATGTATATATGTTCCTATTTTTTCTTTTCTTCATACTTATTAAGATAAACATTGCATCTAAGTTTATTTTATTGCTGGGAAAATCAGAAGAAGAAGTAAGCTTGTTTCTGGAGCCAAGAAACATTTTTCAATTTGCTTCTCACTTCCTATCTGGAATAGAGTCAGTCATAGTATTAGCACTACTTGATAGCATATTAGTAGAACTGTTTGAATATTGTGGTCTCTTACAGTGAGATTATTGGTAATATTCTGATTAAAAAACACAATTTCTTTTTCTTCCTGAAAAGATACATCCCCATGGCAAGAGTAAAGTACTGTCCAAGCAGATGCTAATTTGTTTTGGATTAGTTTCCCATTTTAAAACCTTTCCATTGTTATAGAGTCACACTAACATCTGTAATGCCAAATGCTTCACTCAACAGAACTACTCATCCATTGCAGGAAAAGGGCAGCACCTGGATTCTCCCAGGGATACCACATCTGCCAGGATCATAAGCAGCTGAATATCCTCATCCCAGCAAATTCTTCCAGTTCAGAACTGTTTAGATCCCCAAATAGATGTTTTGAGATGTCAGGAAGAATAGCTGGGATGGCTGCTGTAGAATCCAGAAATCCCTAAGTTATCCCTAAATTTTGAGGGATTCTGTCTAAGACCACATTTCCTCTCCGGGCAGACCCCCATGCCAGTATTGCCCAAGATGGGGCTGGCACAACTGCAGGGCTCCTGCCACCTCCTGCTGTGAAATCAAGCAAGCACTCAGGCAGGCAGAGTGCTGGCATTATTCAGTGTCACTGATGCTGGAGCAAATGATGACTCAGTTACTAATTCAAGCCATTTGATTATGGTTTGCTTTCCTGTCTAAAGCAATCCTGATGCTACTTCACAGCGTTCTGGGAAGTGGCCAGGAAATGCTGGATTATGACCCTAACAGCCACATGATGCTAAAAAGTTATTGAAAACACTTTAATAGTTTCATGTTTTCAGACATCATATGCTTCAGAGGAAAAAAATATAATTTTCTTTCTGCCAGCCTTGCTTGAAAAAAAAGCTAGTAAAGTACTAATAGGACACAAAGCCAGTATGTTTTTCATGGTAAAATGTATCTGAATTATTTTTACTTATTTTTTATTTTATATTATTTTTGAAATTTTTATTAGTATTGATTTATTTGGATAATGCTATAGTATACTTTAATTTTCCTGCCCTCAACATTATGTATATTTGTGTATCCTATTATTTTTAACTATAAGAACTTCAAAGACTTTTGTTTTTCTTAGATCCCATGGAAGACTCTTTTAAAATTATTTGCTCTACTTCCACCCT